TACAGAGTCAGGCTTCATTTGGAAAAAAAACAAAAAACAAAAAAAACGCAATAATGTCTTCAGTCTTTATTTTATTTGACTGCCCTCCAGCATTTGGCAAAATGAGCCATTCCTCCTCAATACCACATCTCCAATAACTTTCCTGACCACATTCTTTCTTCCTTTCTTCCTTTCCTCCTTCCTTCCCTTCCTTCCTTCCTTCCTTCCTTTCCTTTCCCTTCCTTCCTTCCTTTCCTTTCCCTCCCTCCCTCCCTCCCTCCCTCCCTCCCTCCCTCCCTCCCTCCCTTCCCCCTTCCTCCTTCCCTCCTTCCTTCCTTCCTTCCTTCCTTCCTTCCTTCCTTCCTTTCTTTCTTTTTGCCTATTCCTTTAGAGTTTCTTTTCAGTTTTCTTCAGTCTCTCTTCTTCTGCTCATCTTTTTATAGCATTAGTTACACAGAGTGATTTTTTTAGATCCTACCTGCTATCTGTTGCATATCCTTATGACCTGGATTCTGAAAGTATTTCCACTTAGAACTCTTACTATTCCATACTTTGATAAACAAGTGTGTGTGTGTACGTGCACGTGTGTGTATATGTGTGTGCGTGTGCGTGCATGTATGTGTGCGTGCACACACACATGTGTGTGTGTGTGTAGTGGTATATACATGGTGTGTGGAGGGCCTATTCCCACGTGCATAGATATGAAGATCAGAGGAGATATTAGGTGTAGACGTTGGGCCTAGTTCTTCCTCCCAGGCCGATGTTCCCAGAAATAAGACTCAGACTCAAAATATCTTTACAAATATCTTGGCCATAATGCTATGCTCTTTTCTGATAAGATCACAACTAAACATAACCCTTTTATTCTAATCTGCATTCTGCCACATGGCTGGTTACCTGTGCTCAGGTATCATGTGTTCCTCTCTTCAAATCTTCCCAGGCAAATCTCAGGCACCTGGCTCTATCCCAGAATTCTTTCTGCCTCCCGGATGTCCCACCACCTATTTCCTGCCTAAGCCATAGACCATAGGCTTTTTAATTGACAAGTGGTGTATCCATACAATACACAAGATACTCTCTCTACAATCAGGTGCCTATTACTCTCTCACTAAACCTGGAGTTGGCTGGCAGCCAGGAAGTCCTGGAGATCTTCCCTGGCACTGGGCTTGCTCGAACACCTGGGCTGGCTTTTTACACCGGTGCTAGGGATTTGAACTCAGGTCCTCATGCTTGCAGGGCAAGTGCTCTTCCGTCCTATACTGACATTTTAAACCATCCTGGCCTCTGATTTCTCCTGTGGTGCATCTTAAACGCATCAGTGTGCAGCCACCATCCATCTCTAATCACAAACTCTTCTCTCTCTCTTCAGGGGCTATTTGCACCTCTGCACCCAGCTCTTTGCCTCTTTCCCTGGCTCAATCCTGTTTCATCTTTAGACACCCACTTCAACGCCACATTTAGAAGGTTCTTTAACTCTTCTGCTTATATTACACTTCCTTAGAGTTCCTTATGTCCTCCTTCAGAGCATAGCCATTTGACATTGCGTTTATGTGTTTGTGTCTACTCTCTCTTGCCATGTGGGAAGTACTGAGATTTGCTGCTGCTTCATTATTCGTTGCCTCGTGACTCCCCCTGGCAAATGAAAGACTTAAAGCCTAACAAATTGATTTACTGAATGTAAGCTCCCAGAGATCAGGGACTGTCTTTGTCTTTCTTTCTTGTCCTACATGGTAAGGTTCTCACATACAACATGCCCTCAAGATATTATAAAACAATGTCTAAAGTTTAAATGCTAATGTTTTATGGAAAAATAACTTCGAGATCTCTTCAACACGCTCAATTCTACCCTTAAGGAAGACTGTGTACAGATTATTACATAGTATTAGATTTAATTTTTGTGTAGTGTATGCCAGCGATGAGGGTATGTCCCACAGTGCATGTCAAGGTCAGAGAAACTTTTCAAGAGTTGGTTCTGTCTATACACTATCTGGGTCTTGAGATGATGGAACTTAGGTTTTCAGACTTGAGGGCAAGCATCTTTACCTATGGTGCCACTAGGCCAGAATAAAACGGTAGCACGGATCTGGCAGTAATAGCACACCCCTGTTAGTCGCCAGCCTTTGAGAACTTGACCCTTTGAATCATGAGCTCTAGACCAGCCTGGGCTGCGAAGGGTTGAAGGCCAGCCTGGATTGCACAGTAAAACTCTGTGCTCATACACACCACATCCCTCCATAAACAGTGCAAATGGAGAATAAGAGTCTGTTTTCCTCCGTTGAGTTGGCTACAGGCGCCAGTTTCCTATTTTTAATGTCCTTCTGGGTTCTTTAATCTCACTTATATAAATGCATTTGGCGGTTTTTTCCACCCTCGAAACCCTTAACTCCACGGGGAGACCACCAAACTGTTGGGGGAACTCTAGCGCTTAAAGACCAGCAGCTCCACTAGCTTGCTGGCATTCCTTATGGTTCATAGCAAGAGTCAATCTCTTCCCTTTTCCCAGCCCCGCCCCGCTCTCCCATCCACCCGCCTCTTCCATCCCCGCCAGGCTTAGTGGGTGCCTGAGTCGGGGTGGGAAGGGAGGAAGGGGAGAGGGAGACTTCAGAGCTCGGCCCAAACCCGCTTCCCAACCCGTTTTCCCGGGGGCCGCCAGCTTTCCAACCACATTGGCAATGCGTTTTCTTATCCAAAGGAAATCACATCTTCAGCTGCAAAGAAGGGACCGCAGGGGGACAGCCCGCGTGTTTACTCTCGTTGGCTCGTTCCCGCGCTGCTTCAGGGACGGATTGGCTCCCCCGCTCCCCTGACGCTCACCGGCTCCGCCCCGACGCGGCCATCTGCTCCGCGTGGGTCCTGGGGGGTCTCCTCCTGACCCACTCCCTCCGCCCCTCCTCTCGCGCCCCTCCCCGCCCCCACTCCTCTGGGCTCCGCCCCTTCCCCCTCCCGGCGCCTCCGGCTCCGAATCTTCCCCGCGGTTGCCCCGGAGACGAGCCGATACCAGGCAAATAGGCATTGGAGAAAGAAAAGGGGGGAAAGCTGCACGACAGCCTGTTAACAAAGGAGCCATAAAAGCAGCCCCCGAATGTCTGCGAGAAAAAATCCGAAAGCGAACTAGCAATCACCCCAATTTAAAACCGGAGGGAGACGCAGAGGAAGGGGCAAGGTTCCCGTGGGGGTGGGTGCACAGATTGCCTTTTGAGCTTTTGGGAATCTCCTGGATGGAGGTGTTGGATCAGCCCAGTTGGCTTTTCAAGTTGGAACTGCTAATGAGCGATTCGCGTCCATCCTGGCGGCTGGGTTCTCAGGCCAGGCCAGCAGACTTCCTTACGTGTGCTAACACGTTGGTTGGCAAGATGCATTTCGACGAAATGTTCCTTCCAGCTGCTCTGTGGAATATGACTTCGGGATTGAATAATGTATCTAAAGGTACTGGACAGTCAGGAGATGAAACTTCACGCAACGATGTTCTGCTCAGTGACTGTCAAACAGCACTTGAACAAAGGGTTATTGGCTTGAACCAACTGTCCTTTTCACTCAAAGTGTGACCTATTTCCCTACAATGAACAGAAAATAAAACTGTTTGACAATTCCGAGCCAACACCAAGAGAAACGAACCATTCCCTCGACTGCTTCTCGCCTCCATCGTTCACGATGCTCAGTCATTAAATGCAATCGCCGAAAGATGGTTTGGATGTTTTCATGAGCGAAAATATGGGTGGTAGAGGAATGTTTATTAAGTTGTGTCCTCTATCCCCTCTCCCTTCCAGATACATTAGATCAGCGTCTGGTCTTTCACACACTAAAAGTGTCTGGTACTTCGGTGACAAGGGCTGTAGTGAACGAGAGAGATATCCTACACACGGCTGTAGAGCTCTGCCTTTAGCCTGGGTTAGACGTGGAGTCTCCAGGGATTTTCTTGCTGTCTCTCAACATTGCAGGCGATTTCTTCTGAGACTAGGACTCGGCCTTTTAGAAAATTTCCTCGCTGTTGCCTCTCTTCCAGGAGCACACTTGATGCTGTGCACCGACAAGTTCAAAATGAGACTCCCTCCGATGCTGGCAGCAGGCTAGAAAAACAACCCATGTCGACCAGAGTAGCTGTCTCCCAAGTGTAAATATGGATTCGTACACTCAAGGCTCGGTCTCGTTTTACCACAGAGGAAAATTTAATTATGTCGTTTCATACAGTGATAAAATGCTAGCAAGTTTCGATCTTCTGCAAATGGTCCTCACAGTGTTTTGTGGAAAAATGATCGCTAATTGGAATAGCTGGAGAGACGCGATTTGAGGAGCTCCAAGGACCAATTTTAAAATATTTTATTTCACGCCTCTGGGAGAAAGGAAGGAGTACAGCTTAGGCTGTTTGCTGCTTTTGCATTTCCCACATCTGGCCTACAGACCTAATTCCAACTGGAGATCTCGCTAGATGAAATTCGATCTTCGTGGTTTAAATACCTTTCAGTGTGGGACGATTTAGCAATTGCAGCAGTTAAAAAAAAAAAAGAAACAAAAATCAAAAAAAAAATCCTTGCGCACTATCTGTGAAACCCTTATGGAGCGCGGAGGGAAAAAATTCTGATAGCATACAAGTCCTACCCATTGTCTTTAACACTCGCATACACACTTATACACGTAAACACACGGGAAAGATGGGGGAGGGGAGAGAGTGGCTAGAGACAGACGCGGATATAGACCGGCAAGAGTCAATGCGAGTCAAGTTAAAGCTTTCTCCGCCTCCATCCATAAGTACCCCCTCCCGGGTTAATTAATTCCAAACAAAGCAAGCCAATCAAGAGATGCATTATTATTTTCAGGCCGAGGGAGACGAGAAGTACGTATTTTTTAATTGATTTATTTATTTGGAAGACATTAATTCTCGGTCTGAGGCTGATTTTCAAACCGTTTGCAAAGCGCGGCTCCATTGTTCGCCCGGAGCGCAGGCCCCGCCCCCTGCTTTGTGTGCGGCTCGCGGATTGGCCAGCTCGCGCGGGGGCCGCGTCAGCGCCCGCGAGCCCATTCATCTGTGCACTTGGGCGTTGGACCCCGCATCTTATTAGCAACCAGGGAGATTTCTCCATTTTCCTCTTGTCTACAGTGCGGCTACAAATCTGGGATTTTTTTATTACTTCTTTTTTTAAAAAAACTACACTTGGGCTCCTTTTTTGTGCTCGACTTTTCCACCTTTTTTCCCTCCTTCCTGCGCTGCTGCTTTTGATCTCTTCGACTAAAAATTTTTTATCCGGAGTGTATTTAATCGGGTCTCTTCTGTCCTCCTCGCCACCCCCACCCCCTCCCTCCGGTGTGTGTGCCGCCGCCGCTGTTGCTGCTGCCGCTGCTGCTGCTGCTCGCCCCGTCGTTACACCAACCCAAGGCTCTTTGTTTCCTCTCGTGGATCTGTTGAGTTTCTTTGTTGAAGAAGCCAGCATGGGTGCCCAGTTCTCCAAGACCGCAGCGAAGGGAGAAGCCGCCGCCGAGAGGCCTGGGGAGGCGGCTGTGGCCTCGTCGCCTTCCAAAGCTAATGGGCAGGTAAATTCTACCTGTGGTTCTGGTCATTTCTTGGGTGTCTTTCTCTAATCTGGACGCCTCGCCTTCCCTCTGGTCGCGCCCGAGGTGCATTCCGGGGAGGGGAGCGTGGCCCGATCCTAGTCTGAAAGTTGAATGGGTAACGATAGCCTAAATTGTCAATTTTTCATAGGAAGGGTACCCCCCCCCCCAAAGGAGTGGTCCGTAAGGATCCTGGCGAATTCTTGAGTAGGGGGAACAGTGATACATCGTCTAAAATGGCGTGGTTTGGAGATTGGCTGAACGTGACTAGTTAGATGCAACCCCCTCCCCAACGCCCCTCCAGCTTGCATTCGTATTTGGGGCCACAGTGGTGTTTGGGTGGCTCACGTATTTATTGTCGAGATTGGGTCGTCTTTGAGCTTTCTGGTGTGGTTGTGTGTGTGTGCGCGCGTGCGTGTGTATGTGTGTGTGTAGGAAGGGGGGAGCCAACGCGGATGGCGGTGGAGAAAAGCAACCGGGAAGGCTTGTCTTATTGTATCCAGAGGCAGTACACCCGGGTTCTTGGAAAGGTGGCTGCTTAGAGCTGGACAGGCAGCTTTTCCAAGTGCCCTTCCGTGGCCCTCCCCCCGTTTTTTGCTAGCTGTGTAATTACACACCCATATGATCTTTTACATGGTATCCTGGTGTGGTGGGACTCAGTGGGTTTTCGAAGACCCTTTCCTGCCTGCCAAGAGGGGAGCAGTTCTGGTGTTTTGGTTTGGACTGTTCGTTTGAGTGGCACCTCGGCCACCCTCGAGGATTACCCGAGTGCTGCTGCGACCCAGGCAGAGAGCCATGGTTGGGTGGGCTCAAGAGGTCGGCCATGGGTGGCTGCTTCCCAAACACCGAGCACCCACCACGCCTCTTTTCCTAGAGCCAAAATAATAAGGCCTGCTCTAAACCCCTTGGGGCAAGACGGGCTCTGTCAAGAGGCTTTAAACCCGTTAAAAATGCAAAAAGGAGCTGCCCGGGCGCACCCCGATATGCAGAATTCTGGGCGAAGGTGGGCGTGGAGGCAGAGGCCAGACTTCAGACATAATGGGTTTTCCCCAGCCCCGCCGGTGGCCGAGCCTGGGAGAGGCCGACCCGGGCAGCCACCTGAGCTTTGTTTGCGGACTCCGGGGCTGCGCGATCCCCGGCTCGGGGGCGCCTCGGCCTGCGGGCAGGGCCCAGCCAGGCAGGGCGGGGTGGCCCCGCCCCTGAGCGCCCTCCCGCCCGCGCCCCGCAGCGCTGCGCGCGGTGGACAAGCAGCGCCCCCTGCCGGCGCCACCCGGGAACGCGCAGCTCCGGTCGCTCGAGGCGGAGGGAAGGGTAGCCTGATGGCGAGCGTGGGCTCCCTTCCGAAGTGGGCGACTTGTGTCCACTCCCCGGCCGCCGGGCACGTGCCGTCGAGCGGCCGGGTCCCTTCCTAAGCTGGCCCAGGGTGGGCGGCGCTGTCGGCCGCTCCGAGTGACGCTCCCGTCTTTTTTTTTTTCTGCCCCGCAGGAGAATGGCCACGTAAAAGTGAACGGGGACGCGTCGCCCGCCGCCGCCGAGCCGGGCGCCAAGGAGGAGCTGCAGGCCAACGGCAGCGCCCCGGCCGCCGACAAGGAGGAGCCTGCGAGCAGCGGGGCCGCGACCCCCGCCGCGGCCGACAAGGATGAGGCCGCCGCGGCCACTGAGCCGGGCGCCGGCGCGGCCGACAAGGAGGCTGCGGAGGCCGAGCCCGCCGAGCCCGGCTCCCCCGCCGCCGAGGCCGAGGGCGCGTCCGCCTCCTCCACGTCGTCGCCTAAGGCGGAAGACGGGGCCGCGCCGTCGCCCAGCAGCGAGACCCCGAAAAAAAAAAAGAAGCGCTTTTCCTTCAAGAAGTCCTTCAAGCTGAGCGGCTTCTCCTTCAAGAAGAGCAAGAAGGAGGCGGGCGAGGGCGCTGAGGCGGAGGGCGCGACCGCCGA